CTACAATGTATTTCAAATCAATGTTTACAGACCATTAATTTCTGAAAAGACAAAATTGTATTTTTTAATGTATAAATATTGTCAAATAGTACAGATGAAATCCATATAAAGCGGAGCATGTATATTTGTTAAATGTTTTTCTCCTGTGCATTCTTTCAGGGTGGGATGGAGGACGCTACAATAAAAGAGGAAATAACATATGCATAGGTTTAATTTATGTGGTATTATTCGTATCTATATTTTGATTCCTTGCTGTGCAAGAACAAAGAATTTACACAATTACAGTTTTCACACAGTTTTTCTTCCTTCAGAAGGCATTCACACGGTGTGTCTCCATATTGTTTTTCCATAATATACTGCCTTACAGTTACTAGCCGAATGCAGCAATATATATGGATGTGTTTGTGTTGGTCTGTTTTGATATAAAAGTTTGAATATGTTTCGCTATTTTTTATATTTCTATAAATAAATATATATTTTTATAATCATACGTTACATCTTTTTGAAGGAATGGTGGGATCCCCACTTTGGGGAATTTTGTATTTTTTCTGAACAATTGAATAGTAGGGGACCCTCCTTCACGTAATTGTTAAACAAATTCTTCATTGAACCTTCCTTTCCCCTTTCTATATGTCTCAATAAGTCCAGGGCCAATATTTACCCGTACCTATAAACTGATGACCTGCGGGGGCTTTTAAAAGCATGTGTGGACTTTTTGGGGTACTGAATTCTGTTGCAGTTTCACGGACGCACACCATTTTTAACCTGGGCATGTTGGGTATCTATTTACTCTTTTATATTTAAAAAAAAAAATGGTTTCATATAGTGTTGTGGGGCACTAAATTTAACGTAAGTGCATTTTTCACTAGTTTGGGGTTTGATAAGGAGTTGCGCTAATATCGTTCAACATAAAAATTTGCAACTGCCAAAATGTTATTCTACAGGGTCTTGGCTTTCAGAAAATATATAATGTTTGGGGGGTTTTAGGTAATTTTCAGGCCTAAAATGTGGATTATAACATGGGTGCAAAAAATGAGAAAAAAGGCCTTGGTCCTTAAGAGGTTAATAAAAACTGGAACAATGGGGGTGTTGTAAAACGTTTGTCCGGGATTGTATACACTTGGCTCCCAAGTCTGCTCATCTATTGTGGTAAAACGGGAGGTGACTCCACACCTCTCAATTTGGAATGTAAGAACAGTCTTCCCCTGCCCCCCCCCCAAAGATCCATGAGGCAGTTTTGTTTTTTTAACACACCTTTTTTGAAGTCTTTAGGCCGGTCACGTAATGTATCAGTGAGACCAACAGACTCGCTCTATGATGTCTATGACGTAGCTATCGGTGTTTAGTGTCCTTTTACCAGTATGAGTATTTAATAAATAGCATTCTAATACATGATCTCTGGCTTTTGTCTTTCCAGGGAGTGATCAGAGTACCAGCTCCTTGCCAGTATGCCCACAAACTGGCCTTCCTCGTGGGTCAGAGCATCCACAAGGAGCCACACGGTTCTCTGGCTAGCCTCCTGTACTACCTGTAGCCACGGGGAAGACACCAGACCGATTTGAAGTCATTCTTCTGCTGAAGATGGAACCCATTAGTTGGGAAGCATTTGTACTACAGAATGTTACTTTCTTTTTTCTAATGTAATTTTTTTTTTCTTGTTTGGTAGTTTGGGTTCATTCTTCAAGCTGCCCCTTACACATGGGGGCAGCCTTTTTGAGGGCTGAATGTTTGGTCTCGTAATGGAATGCTGCCATTGAAGTCTCTGAAAATGCTAATTGCCTGGCTGTTAAGCTGATCCACAGGCTTGGTCACAATCTTGGAGCCAATTTGCAGATCAGATTGTCTGACTGCGCTAGTTCTGTGGTTGTTCCAGGTCAGGGTTCGTTCACACCATAGTGCAGTCCGTTTCGGTCAGAATTGACCCACTCACTTTTTTGTCGGGCAAGAGGGGGCGTGGCGGACTATTGAAGTGAATGGCAACGTAGCCACGCCCTGCGGCGGCAATGCGATTGCCTGCACGGGATCGCAAGGGACATTGTGCCTGCAGTGCGGTCCGGTGCGATCAAAATAGTGCTTGCAGACCGAACGCACTGCCCTATGATGTGAACGAACCTTCAATGTCTGTGCTTTGCTTTTTAAGAAATTCTAGTTGTCTTGTTTATCTCTGGCCACGGTACCATAGGGTTTACTTAATAATAAAGATGTCTATAGGTCATTTAGTAGCTGTCGCGGATTGGATTGGAACAAGGGTTGATTATTTCCTGATATTTAAAAGATGTGCTACAAACAGGGCAATAGAGCAGGGGTAGGCATGCTCTGCCCCTCCAGCAGTGGGGAAGCTACAAATCCCATCATGCATCTGCCTCTGGGAGTCATGTCTGTGGCTGTCAGTCTTGCAGTGCCGCATGGGATTTGAAGTTATACCACAGCTGGAGGGCCAAAGTTTGCCTGTTCCTGCCATAGGGTATGCAAAAGGTAATAAAATGTATAGAAAAGCATAACCAGTGTCTATAAAGGACCAAATAAATGCCAGCAGCGCTTTCAGGCATCAAAAGAAACCATGCAACTAAAGAATTTCAGAGAGTGAAGTGGCTTATGCAAGTCTTTCAATCAGCATGAGAGCCAGGCAGGTAGCATTTTTAGGAGTGGTCAGTCTCCATAGACTCTGCTGCAAAATCATGGCTGCAATTTAAAAGAAACCTACACAAAGTCTCTCTTGGCAAAGAACATGCAAAGGGTAACTACTGCCTTTCCTTGTTCTAAAGGTTAGTGTATCCCTAAAAACTGATGTATAACCCCGCCCAGTATTGGTTAAGCTCCACCTCCCTCAAAGTTTGATTGGCCTGGGATCAATCGCTTTCAAAGGCCCCCCCCCTGTCTTTAATAGGTATACACATACTGTTTGGAAGAAGTCAAACACAACTTGTGTCTGGCCATCCCTTTTTTTTTTTAGTTGACAGGAGTGGAGAATGCTGTACACCTCCAACTGATTCCAAGTTATGGTGGGCACAGACACCAATTAGTTCCAGATATCCGGCTGGCTACAATTAGGATCTAAGCATACCCCAAAAGTCCTCAGATCTGCTCTTCTGATATGAGGAGAAGCTACAGGTGAAACTCGAATAATTAGAATATCGTGCAAAAGTAAGTGCTGCAAAAGGGGCCCAAACCAAGTACTGAGTACATATGCATGCTTGTACTTTTCAGAGGTCCGATATTGTTCTATGTACAATCCTTGTTTTATTGATTGCATGTAATAATCTACTTTTTTTGAGGTTGTGGATTTGGGGTTCTTGGAGGTTTCATGAGCTGTAAGCCATAATCATCACAATGATGACAAATCACGGCTTGAATTATCTTGCTTTACATGTAATGAGTCTATCTCGTATATTAGTTTCACCTTTTAAGTTGCATTAGTGAAATAAATGAACTTTGCACGATATTCTAATTATTCGAGTTTCACCTGTATGTCAGGGGTGTCCAACTCTCTATTTCATTGCGGGCTCAATTAGCATTACGGTTACCCTGAAAGGGCCGGTTGAGGTCTATGGTGGAATGTGTGGACTCTCTGGTGGCTGTGGAGGTTCTATGGTGGGCTATGCGTGATCTTTGGTGGGCTGTACAGGCTCTCAGGTGGGCTATGCAGAGTCTATGGTGGACTGTGCAGACCCTCAGGTGGCTGTGCAGGTTCTGCGGTGGGCTGTGCGGACTCTCAGGTGGGCTGTGTAGGGTCTATGGTGGGCTCTGCAGGTTCTGTGGGTTGGGTTGTGCGGACTCTTGGGTGGCTGAGCATTGTCTATGCTGGGCTGTGCTGGGTCTTCGGAGGGCCGTGCTGTCTCACCAGGGGTCCTGGTCAGTCTCGGTGGGTGTGGGCGGCGTGGATCCACAGGAAGGAGTAGGAATTTTTCATCTGGTGCTGTAAACGGGCACCACCGTTCACAGGAAGGCTGCCGGGACCTTGCTGGGGACCTCGGCAGTCTACCTGTGAAGCCCAGTTTCGTTTTAAAAATGTAAAGCTGCAGGAGAGGTGCGAGGGCCACAGGAAATGGCCTGGCGGGCTGGATTCAGCCCATGGGCCTTGTATTTGACACGTGTGCTATCCCTTTAATTTCTGTCCAAGCTGGCCATATACTCGAGTATAAGCCGACCCACCTAATTTTACCACAAAGAACTGGGGAAATATTGACTCGAGTATAAGCCAAGGGTGGGAAATGAGGCAGCTACTGGTAAATGTACAAAATGAAGATAGATACCAATAAAATTACATGAATATTTATTTCAAAGAAAAACAATAACCTAGCTCTGTAAGTGGAAAAGGGGGTACATGGCTACATATCATGTACTACGGATCATTTAACCCATTCATATTAGCAGAGGATAATTGTAAATCTATTGTTCAGTGCATTCTATATGTAGTATATAGTACATGTACATATAGAGTGCCTGCAACAATACATTTACAATGATCCTCTGCTAACATGAATGGATTAAATGATCTGTATGTAGCCCTGTACTATGGATCATTTAACCCATTCATATTAGCAGAGGATAATTGTAAATGTATTGTCTGCACTGTATTAGCAGTATATACTCTATATAGAGTATATACTGCTAATACAGTGCAGACAATACATAATTGCTTAATAAATCTCTCCACCCCCAATTGGGGCATTTTTAAGCACAAAAAATGTGCTGAAAAACTCGGCTTATACTCGAGTATATACGGTATTTAGTTTTCTCAGTCTTGTTCTGTATGTATCCATGTAGGATGTGAAGATGACATCATAGAAGAAAGTTGTTGTTTTTTCTTTTTTTGACAGTTGTCACAAGTTCTGTTCAGTTCTTTTGTTGTTTTTGCTCTCCAAGTCACATGAGCTATTGTTGTGGAGCAAGATCCAGTCCCATTCCAAAGGGAGTGCTCTCTACAAAGTGTACTATGCTGTATTGATTTGGCTTCTTGTTTAAAAGGAAAGTAATACATTTAGTAAATAATATGAAAATAATGTGTTGTATGTTTTCTTTTAGTAATAAGTTAAATTACTTTATATCCGTCCATTGAGGGCCTGTTCACACGATGTCCGTTTTCTGTGCTGACCTGATCCGTACGCTGCTGCACTAAAAATGCATCCCAATGTATCCCTATGTGTTTTATGGGCAGGTTACGACAGAAAAATACTGCATGTCACATTTTGTACGGTCAGGAAACGGTCCGAAAACGCATCAAAAACGCGTCAAAAAGCACTGCAGCTAACATACTGACAGCCCCACTTTTTTTAACTGGAACGCATCAAAAACGCGGCCAAACACATAGCACCGCGCCTGCTGATCCGGACCTGAAAATCATGTGAACAGGCCCTGAAGGTTATTTTAAATGCACAGGAATCCTTTTTGTTCACCACGTTTGAGTGACCTTTGTGTGTGGTTATGGCAAGTCTGATCATCCGGCCAGCTGTATTGATCAGGAAGTGAGCAGAAACATGCACGATCTGCTCACTTCCCAATCGTCTCCCTGCAGTGAGTGGTGACTGTCACTCCCCGCCGGGATTCCCCCCGCCC